CGCCGAATTGAAAGACCTCCGCTCACCTTGGTAGATACTCAGCTGGTCTTCAGCGTCCTTCAGTTGCCCTCTCTCGAGCTCCACTCTAGCCGAAGCAGCTGCCCTTGTCGAAATGGCCTCAAGTGAGCGTGAATCGGTCCGACTAAGGTCACAGCTGATCTTACTTCTTTCTGCTTGGCTCCCGCAGAGTCCTTCTGAGCCCGAGCGGCTTCAATAGAACGGTGCAGGATTTGTTCAGCGTCTCGGGGGCTGAGACAGGTAGCGAAACAAGCTACTCCATCAGTAGTACTAGGCTTACAACAATAAGGGACTCAGAAACGCCGAGCGAGAACAGGAAAAAATTTCCTCACCTGGTTGAATCCAACCCCGGATTCTCGGTTATAATCCTCTGCATGGTCAATCGAAGACTCTCAACATTGCGGCTGAGGACCTATTCATCCACGACCCTCAGCGGAGAGAGTTGCCCTGAGCTCTCACTTCAGCCTCTGTTGCGACACCACTGTCTTGATTGAGCCTCTGTACAGATTCCAACGCTCGTGCCAACTAAAATTAGGGACCACCATTTTGGTCTTTCGGGCAACTGCAATCGAGCATTCCCCTCAGGACAGTTGGCTCACTTCTCGCTGATTCTCGCCTTTTTCTATCATCAGTTTCCGAAGAGCTTGCTCGATCTCCTGGAGGCGAGCCGATGCCTCAGCATTATTGCTCGTGGAGGCAATTTTACGTTCCACTTCACTTATCTCTCTTTCTGTTTCTAAAAACGATTGAGATGCTTTCTCGACTGCTCTGGCTTCAGCGCAATCACCTTTTGCTTCTGAGAGCATCTGACCGGAATTCGCCTTCGTACGTTCAAGCGTGGAGCTTTTGAACTCGAGGCTTTGCAGTACTTGTCGCTGGTTCTGACAGAGCGACTCCCTCCGTGCTGAAAATAGCACAAGCAGTGAGAAGCTCATGGGCGAGACCGACCGAAAGCCCTGATGTGGCCGATGGAACAGCGCGCAGTGCAAGACCGTCGTGATTGAGGCTGATTCCCATCTCACCTAGTTCTTGTTCCGCTCGTTCCTCTTCGGTTCGACAAGCCTCAAGCGCTCGTCGTGACTCCTTGACCCGTTCCACCATTGAGGACTGCAAACACTCCAGAAGCGTACCTACACCACACATGTCTCTTCGGCAACATTCACCACCAGTGTCGGCGTGGTGACATCGTCCAAAGACACGAGGCTGCACGACGCGCCTCCGGACAGATGATGGACAATGTCATCAGAACTAGATATTCTTCGAGCAGCTCCAGCCACGCGAGTAGAACTCTCACGAGCAAACGATGAAGTAGGAGACTATAAATGAACCATCGAAGATTAGAATGCGATTATCCACGGCAAGTAGTAAGAACAGGGGTCCAGTAACAATTTCGCGTCAGCTCCCGCTGGAGACGATGGACATCCTTAGTAAGGATGCGGTAAGGATTCCTTACCTTGTGATGCATCCCCATTCACAAGTCCTCGATCCTTCAACGTCGCCAGCTTATGATCCAATTCCTGTTGTCTCATAACCATCAGCTCATGAGCGTTAGCTGCTTCTCCTGCATCGACTCGCATTGCTCGGGTCTGCACCTATAAGCCACACCATGCCGTAGTGAACAAACCCAACAAGAACACGTCGGGCGGGGCGGCCTGCGGTTCGATAGAATAACAGTATCCACTCACGTTTCGTTCTCTGAGAGTTTCCACCCCTTCCTCAAGCGCCC